AGATGTATGGAGAGAGAAGGAAGTGTGTTGAAAATTCTTCCAGGCATATACAACTGTAAGCCAAAGATTTGGTTTTCATTAAAATCTAGTCAACATAGAAATATTTATTCAATAATGCAATATATATGATTAAAAATGAATCAGATACTTTTTCTTTTCTGATGGGAACTTCGTGAAGCAGAAATTATCAGAATTTCCATGTGTGTAGGGTGTAAACCTGTCACGTATGTCATGCATTCCAACTATCAACAACAAAAACCTAATTTTGGACAACTATACCACAGGAAAGACAGACTTATCTTTTTATTCTCTTCATAGAAAATAACATGTCAAAATCATTGTCAAAGAAGAAACAAACAAAGAGATGTTATGTAGTTAATTGATAAAAGTGTTCAGTTATCTTCCTGGATTTTGGGTGTGTGATATTTGTCAGCTTTTAAAATTTGTAATTTGTTATGATTTCTTTTATCATTCTAAATAAAGATTCACTTTGGTCTCTAATTTTGTACTTTTATTTTAAAATTTCTTTTCTTAAAAAGTACCCTCCCTCCCTGATTAAATGAGCTACGGGCCTCATACAAGCGGGGTCTGCCCCTTGCTGGGGTTGAATTTTATAGATGGTTCGGTGTAAGGTTGCCAGATTCCACTAATGAAAATACAGGAACCCAGGGGCGCCTGGGTGGCTCAGTCGTTAAGCATCTGCCTTCGGCTCAGGTCGTGGTCCCGGGGTCCTGGGATCGAGCCCCGCTTCGGGCTCCCTGCTCTGTGGGAAGCCTGCTTCTCCCTCTCCCACTCCCTCTGCTTGTGTTCCCTCTCTCGCTGTGTCTCTCTCTGTCAAATTAAAAAAAAAAATCTTTAGAAAATACAGGAGCCCAGTTAACTGTGAATTTTAGATGGATGAGCACTGAAATGTGCTTATCTGAAATTCACAGTTAATTGACCCTCTGGTATCCATCCAGTGGGAATATGAAGGAAAGAGGAGTCAACTCAACCAGGGTGGAGGTAGGCAGGAGGAAGGAGAAGGCAGAGGGAAAGGAAGAGGGGAGAGACTTCACACAGGAAGTCACGCCAGAGCTAAGTCTTGAAAGCTGGATAGCATTTGCAAAGCAGATAAAGCAACAGGAGGGCTTTCTAGGTGAGAAGGGGCAGTGAGGTGTTTGGGGCTCATCGAGAGATGAAGTTGAAGATGTGGACAAAGTCTGATTGTGATGGTTCCGAAGTTCTATGGGGACAGGCTAGCCCTTTATCCTAGTAGCCCCTGGGAGCCACGCTGGGAGTTTTAGGCTGGGGAGCACCAAGACTGGGTTTGCTCTTTAGAAAGTCGCACTTCCTAGGAGAAGATGTGTTGTTGGGAGTGAGACCAGGTCAGTGATTCAGGAAAGGAATGGGGAGGCAATGCTTGGATTCTTTCTATTACCCATCCCTGGCTCCTCCTCCCCAGTCTCCATAGGGGTTATTTCATGCCATTTGACCTGTAATCCATTGGCATAAGGTTTCAAACAGGATCTGAGGCTCTAGATCAGCAAGACTTGACTGGGAGTCCTGTGGGTGAGAAAGGAGAAGGCATGGCCAAGTGTTTGTAGCATAGATGCCCAATTTGTCCTTCCCTCTCCTGCTAGGCAGGGTTGGCCAGTTCAGATTTCCTTAGATCATGGACTTCCTGGGTGAAGGCAAGTCAGAACAGCTTGGCTTGGGAGAGTTACATCACATTCCCTGCTAAACAGGCTTGAGGTTCCCCATAGCTTTGTGTTCTGTTCTACTCCATGTGATCCTAAGATAAGAAAGCAGCATGGGGTTAGGAAGGACACTGAGCTAGAAGTCAAGAGATGGAGATTTGAGAACAGGGTGCCACTTCCTCACTGTGTGGCCAGAGGGCTGGTTCATGCCTCCATCTGTTCATTGCTGTAATGGGAATGCTGAACTGGGTGTTCTCTGCTAGCCTTTCTGACACTCATTTCTAAATCCCAAACAAAGGAGAAACTTTTTAAGTTTAAAGTCCCCAAGGACTGGGAAATTTATCTTTTTTTGCTTTATTTTCACAGCTATATACAAATTCTAAACATATCATTAAAATGCAAATGTATTTATCAAGACATTTAAACATTTATATTCTTTTTATGTTTCTATTTACTTCCCAGATGGAACATCCATTCATCAGTACCAACATTTCTTTCTTTTACAAACGCTTTCTCTATCATTCTTTCTAGTGTGGTACAGTCCTCGCAATGATACGCACAAAATCATTCATACAGACCTTATCCATTTTGTTCAGATCACTCAGTAGGACCATACCACTCAACTCCATGGAGCTTCATTCCCATAAAAGGCAATGGGCATGGTGCCCTCTGGAGTTGTGTAATGCCTGCCTCAGTTTTTGTCTGAGGCCAGGATTTAGCACTTAGAGGAGTGGGTCAGCTGCACTCTTTTATGGAGAGGAAATTACCTTGGCACCACCATGAACAGTTCATGAAGTTGGAGTGGCTCGTGGGTGGGGACAGGGGATTGGAAAGAGCTGTGTCCAGCACACGTCAAGCTCAGAGCATTCTCCATTCTGGCTCAAAAGTCTTCCTTCACATTCTTTTGCTTCCCCATGTACCAGATGGAAAATTGAGCTCTGGTTTCCAATGATGGGTCAACTGGTTCTAGAAGATCCAATACTAAGGTTAGACAGAGCCCTATATTTGTGGATCAAATCCATGGTTTGACTGCAATCCTGGAAGGAATGCCATTCCATCGCAATCTATATTCTTACCTTAAGTTATATTGTTAGGCATCAAGGCTTAGGATGGAGGGAAATCATTTCTTATTATCTCTCCTTCCTCCCAATTTAGGGCCTCAAAAGGGGACTGTAAAATTATTAACAAAGGTTACCATTTTTTAAATTTAAAAAAGTTTTTTTAAGTAAGCTCCACAGCCAGCATGAAGCCCAACATGCTTGAACTCACAACCCTGAGATCATAACCCTGACATCATGACCTGGGCTGAGATCAAGAGTCAGAAGCTTAACTGACTGAGCCACACAGCCGCCCCAAAGGTTACTATTTTTGAAGCTCCTATTATGTGCCAGGTCATTTAAATCTACACACCCTGTCCACATGGCAAGTATTCAGTAGGCACAATTAACACCATTTTACAGATGAAGAAATAGAGGCAGGCATCATTCAAAGACGAACTGGCTTGCCTTCAGTCTGACAGCCACAAGGATCAGAGGCAGGCAGCCTAAGCCAGGCTGCTTCCAGAGCTATAGGCCCAGCTGCTATGATATACTGCATGCTAGAAAGGATCTATAAACACATCACACATTTTTCCTTCCTCTGCAGGTTCCCCGATATGACATCTCTGCCCTGAAATAAAAGCTGGGTCAGAACATACAGTCTGAGTACAAGGGGTTGAATACAGGGTGAGAGCCAGAAGGGACAGTTTTGCAATCATGTAGCATGTGGGGCTGGGTCACCATCTGTGAGCTACAAGCCAGAAGGCTCAGGCCGTGCTGGGAACACAGCAACCACCTTCCTGCCCACTCCCTCTGCGGGGAAGCAGGAGTGGGTGGGTGGGAGATCTCTGGACTCAAGAGAGCTCCTTTCTCCCTGCTAGAAGGAAGAGAGAGACACCTATTAACTCCTAACAAAGGTGTCTTCTCTTTTTCCAGGTGCCTGGCACACGGCATCGGAATAAATAATATTTATTGAGTAAAATTATCGTGGATCAAGTCCATTAGCTCATTCAAATCCTCATAGTTTATTTTACTTATTTTATTGAGCTTCAGAAAAGTCATAAACAGCTTGTCTAGTGTCTCACAGAAAAGAGGGAAAGGCAGGGTATAAATCTAGAGCTACTCCATGGTCATTACAATCGACTGCTTCTTAGGACATATATTATATCATTAAGTCCAAGATGCTGGACAAGGTTTTTAGTTCTCATAGCTTCTTTCCCTTGCACCTACCCCTACAAAAAGTCCCCAGACTTCCCTGTCCCTCTTTCTTCTCTGCCGGTGTCCTGCCCATCATTCCCCAATCTAGCTGCCTGCAAGGTCTGCTCCAGCCCGTTGTCCAAAGGGCCTGGTGGGTCTCTTGTAATTACAGCCCATCTTCATTGAGAGTGCTTCATTTGGTAAAAACAAGCTCTGATTATTTGGGGAGGAAACTTTTTACAACCTATCTTTCCCTTACCATCACCCCAAACCCTGATCCTTGGAGAAGTCATGATGTAGAGTTTATATACAAAGAGTAATTTAGATGGAGGGTCTTCTGTTCCAAGAACAAGGACTCTAGGCTCTGTTCCTGAGTCTGCCAAGCCCCTAGACATCCTCATTTTCCCACTTTCTACTTCTCATTTTCTCTCCTTGCATTAATCGAGATGAAAGGGCCCTCCAAGGGACACGAGAAAGAGGAAAGAGATGATGTCCAAACTGATATATTTCTGAGAGGGGGAAAAGAGGTTTCCCATAAGGTTAAACAAAATAATGCACGTAGAGCATTTCGCTAATGCCTGGCACAAAAAGGTGCTCAACATGAATAGCATGGAGGACATTAGGAGAAAGAAGGGAAAAATGAGGGGGTTGGGGAATTGGAGGGAGAGATGAACCATGAGAGACTATGGACTCTGAGAAACAAACAGGGTTTTAGAGAGGAGAGGGGGATTGGTTAGCCCGGTGATAGGTATCAAGGAGGGCACGTACTGCATGGAGCACCGGGTGTTATACAAAAACAGTGGATCGTGGATCACCACATCAAAAACTAATGATATATTGTATGGTGACTAACATAACATAATAAAATTTAAAAAAATAAAAAAATAAAAAAATAAAAAAAGGTGCTCAACAGCTGTATGAGGCATCGGGCAGATGGAGTGTGCCGAGACCAAGGACACCTGCAGCGTCTCATGGGGCTGGCTGCTGTCAGGGTGGGGCTGTCAGGAGAATACTTTCCTGAGTTTGCCTGCGGGGTACTGTTGGTGGCATGCCACAGTGACCTAACTTGGATTTTTCTGTATGGACACAGAATTGCAAGAAATTCTCATTTGCATGGAGATGGGGAGTTTATTCTTCCTAGAAGCTGCATGTCAAGACCCAGAAGAAAGAGGAATTTCTTAATAATGATTAATCAGCTATATCTCAAAGAAGCAAGAAAAGAAAACAATTAAGGAAATGAGATACTAAGGAAACAGAGGAGAAAAATAATCTCCCAAAGGCGGACCCACCCAGTAAACTTTGACAACATTTCCTCTTATCCACCTGCATAAAAGTGACCAGCCCTTTCTGAGTGGCGAAGAGCAGACAGAGGAGACACAGAAGCGGCCTGGAAGCACCTGGTGAGAGGTGAGGCTCACGTGGGCCTTCGCTGGAGGCTTTTGGGCACACCGTCCTAGCCCTCGTCCCTCACTGCTGTAGATAGGTGACCTGTCGACATTGTGTATGGCCTGGGTATTTTGTAGGATGGGGAAGGGTACTCCATATAGAGGATGAACCTCCTAGTACCTTGTTCTCAATAAGAAAAGATGGAGAATGGGGAAGAAGGAGGGCAGGAGGGAAGGGAAGAGGAAGGAATCTAATATTTACTATAACCTTTTCGTTCTAGGAACTGTGCTGGGCATTTGATATCTTTTCTTTTTTAAAATAAGGCTTTGCAGTATTAAATAGCTCTTTAAATATAAGGACCATCGCTGGTTCAGGGGGACCAGTTCAGAAAGGTGCTCCTGTCTGTCTGGTGGGAGGGGAGCTGCTGGGATATCCAGTTGAGCCCCGGAGGGAATGCTACAGTCCGTGGGATGGTGTGGTGGTAAGGACAGCGGGCTCGAGGGCCAATGCACCTGTCTTCCAGGGCTGGCTCTGCCACTTGCTGGCCGCCTACCTTGGTCAGGTGTCTTCACTTCTCTGTGTCAGTTTCCTCTTGGGTAGAATGGGGACAGAAACAACTCACCTCACCGGGTGGTTGTGAGCATTCAATAAGATAATTGTGGGAAATGCTCGGCACAATACCCCTCACATGTGGCATGTATGATAAACATTAGCTACTACTGTTTCTGAATTGGCCAAGATGTCTGGGCTTGCCTAACCAAGCTAAGGGAGGCATCTTTCTCCTCTGCACAATGTCTGAGGGTCCAGGCACGGGGTGATCAGAGGATGGCCCATTGCTTCTGAAAATCGTCTTATCAGAGGAAAAACTGTGCTCTTTTCCCACTCACTTGACTTTCTAGAAGTGTCTTTGTTGCCTCGAGGGGGGATAGAGCTGTGGGGGACTCTACAGTCTTCCCTACCATGGGAAAAGAGGAATCAAGCCCTTTGGCATGATGCCTGCTACATGGTAAGGTCTCATTCTACAACTGTGTGCTCATGGGGAATGATACTGAGTTACTAAGACATGAGGCAAAATGGTTTTCGAAATAGGATTTGCTATTTCTTGGTTTTCTGGAGAAGAGTTTGGGAATTCCTAGGAAGATTGGGGAACGGTGATGGGGAGTGGGGCCCGCTGAGGCTCACACTCTCACACACATGTGCTTTATAGTTCTGGCACTGGGAGCTACAGTAAGGAGTGGGTGGGGGGCTCTGCAGCCCCCGCAGCTGGCTTCCTATCTTGTGCACTGCCACGGGCCACACCCACCGCAGCGCGCGTGCACGCGCGCGCACACACGCACACACGGCTGGAAACGAGAGCTCTGGGCGTGCACCATGGAGGATGCTGGGCAGAGGGCTGGTCTCATCACACGTGCTGTCTTAAGACCTCTTTAAGGCTAAGCCCTGGGGTAGTGCTGGGGAAAGTCAGGGAAAGAGACTTTTCTCCATGTGTCTGAATGACACCATAGAGTGGTTACATGGGAGAGGCAGAGAGGACAGAGGCTGGTTGGGTGATGGGATTAGGAAAAGTCTGGTCCTGCCTAGGACTAACGAGCTGCAAACTTGTCCCTCACAGACCCTGGCTCAGTGGGTGACAGAGGGGAAGCTGCCAACTTGCCCCCCTCTCTCGCTTCACTGTGGCTAATTAGCTGTTTGGAGGTGTCTTGTGCCTCCCTTTCTCATCTTCTCCAGAAGGTGACATCTTCATAGTTGGCTTCAAACAAATGATTTTAAGCAGATACACATCGGGGGTTTATAATAAAAGGGTGTCGTCTATTTCGGGAGCAAACATTAAAAAAATGTGCTTTTAGGGTTTTTCAGATCTGTTGCCTAATTCCTAGGGCGTATTACCAACCCTGTTTTTCCTATTTAATTTATTAAAAACAATGTTTTTCATCACTGTTGACAAAAGGAGCCCTGTTGAGTCATAATGGAGTGATATCCACACAAACAGACTCCCTGGGACTTGAGAGAGCACTGTATTGTGCTTTCTGGGGTGAAGGTGGGGACACCGGGGGAGGGAGAGGGCTCATTCAATTGATTCAAGAAAACCAGAGGAGGAGACACATGACCGTGAACTCCACAAGGCTGAGGTACTGAGTCTTGTTTTCTTGGCTGCTGCCTGGCCTGCCTTGAGGTCCAGAGGCGAGCTTGGTCAGGGGTCCCATTGCTTTCCCCTCTCAGCTGGACAGCTGACTTCCATCCCTTCCTGCAGGACATGAAGGCACAGCGTGTTTCCCTTTGGCTCGTGGCTGCTATGTTCTTCCTGGGCTCAATGCGCACCCGAGGTCTGAGGAGGTGTCTGATTTCCATGGATATACACCATATAGAAGAGGCTTTCCAAGAAATCAAAAAAACCATTGTGAGTGTGGGTTCAGGGTGAAGGTGTGGGCTTTCCATCTTACCTTGAAGAGCAAGTTCCTTTTCATTATCCTTTGTGTCTCAGGGGGACATGGAGTACTCAAGGCTTGTGTCTGTCCTTATGTTTCCCTCCATAGCAAGCTAAGGACACCTTCCAAAATGTCACCATTTTGTCCACATCGGAGACGCTGCATAGCATTAAGGTATTGGCTTGTATCAGCTCTTTCTGTGTTGTTATTTTTATGGTGAAGCGGCCCTGGGCTGAGAAAGAAATCCCTACTCTGTCTTGTTCTCCTTCCCAATTTCCAGTGTACTCTCGAAATATTCCCAGTTTCTCATTTGCCAGCTGATGTGTTAGGGCACACTTGTGTCTCAGGGACTTGGAAACCCCTAGGAGGGATCAAAGAAACAGCACTTACCTAGAGAGGGATTGGGGGTGCCACACGCTCAAAGGGGGCAGGTTGTCTGTGGCTCAGGGCGATTCTGGAAGTTTTCATGGGGGAGCAGAGAAAATGAGCAGTGACTTAAAAGTTGAGTTGGCTACGGGTCAGTGGATGAAGGAGGAAGGAATCTGGAGATCAGGGAGAATGTGTGTGAGATCAATGAATGTGGGTCAGGGGACAGTGAAGCAACCACTCTTGTGGCATGAGGGTCGTGCCGCTGAGTGAGGTGAGTGGAAGAGGCTGAGGTGGAGAAATACACAGGAGTCATCATACCAAGAACCTTCAAAGCTAGGCTGAGCCTTGACTTTATAATACAGCAATAAGTCGTCAGTGTAGGTTCTTGAGCCAAAGACTGTATGACCACAGAATCTTTCAGAAAGACTCTCTGGTGATGTTCTTTACAATGGAAAATGTGAGGCAGGAAAGCCAGTAAAGAGATCCATCCAAACTCTCCAGGTGAGAGGTGTTGAGTATGTTACAAAACAGTTGGCTACAAGGTGAGAATTCACTTTACAGAAGGGGTCACCGAGAAGTACCCTTAAAAATGAGCTCCGCCAGTCCTTGTAAGCATTCTAGAAATATCTTTTTTTTTTCAGAGATTTATCTGCCAGAGTGCAAAGAATAGTTGCAATGAGTTACTCTTTTTTTTTTCCCCCCCTTTGGCTTCTCTGAGTGAGATAATTCTTTTAGGCAGTATTGGGCCTGATCCGTTTGTAGTATATAGATGTAGCCACTTACTAAATACTATTCCAGCCAACTGTATGAGAGACTCATAGGATAGTGCAGTTGGAAGGGACCCAGAAGGCTACCTGTTCCAAAGCCATCATTTTCAAATGAGCAAAGAGATAGCTTGGGAGAGAAAATGACTAGTCAGCAGTTGAGCCAGTGGTTGAACCCCCAAGCCCCCTCTGTCTCCAGATTCTTTCTCCTCTCTAGGCCCAGAAACAGCTGATGTGGCATAAGAGTCAATGAGGATGCAGGTCTTTATCATATTTGTCCCTCCCTCCCTGATTAAACAAAGGTGTGCCACTTTTTGCTCCTTTGGTTAAGGGAACCAGCAGGAGCCAAGGAGGGGAAGGGTTTTGCTTCACAAGTAGAGTTTGCCATCTAGGAAAAGCTGCTTGTGCGTCCAAGGAGGCTTTGCTGCTTTAATGCTAATGAAGATGGATGCACTGTCCCCCTAAATGCTTCACACCCCTCCCTTCTCAGACTGGGCTATAAATCTCCTGCCAAGCAACTCACTGGGTCTCAGGGAAGGGTGTAAATTGCTAGAAGGAAACTCAGCCTAGACAACTGCTCTGAGCTGTGTCCTGGGAATTCAAGTCCTCCCCCTCCCCGCTTGGAGACAAAGACACTCTGCCAGCACCCGACAAGCCCAGAGGTTCAAATTTCTGCCGCTGTCAGTTTCCATTCTTGCAAATCTTAGCTCCATTCAAATGATCCCTGCAGTTTAAAAAGGACAGATTGGGGTGGTGGGGGGAGCAGAGCAGGACGGTCAGGATAAATACAATGTAATTACAATGGAAGGAATAGTGCCCAGCACACACCTGGTATGCAAGAGCTCCTGATATTTATACACATGTATTTATACACAGGTTGATGGGTGGGAGAGGGTACGGAGGGGCGGACCACAGCACAACATAAGGAAGTACTTTTCCAGAAAGCTGCTCAGACATGGATCTTTTCAAAAGGGAGACACTGAATTCCTGGAAGGGTTTAAGCTGAAGTCAGTGATGACATGTTGGGATGCTGTAGAGAGAATTCTAGTCTGTGACTGGGCTCCATCGCTTGCTGTTATATTTCCTGGCCATAAAAAAAAGAGGAACCGCAATCTCTCCTCATAAGTAGCTTTGATGTGGTGAGAGGACATGGATACTCTGAGAACAACATGAATTTTAAAAAATCAACTTGTAGCTATTTTGTTCCTTGATGCCCCTACTCAAATAGGCTTCTTTGGTCTCTGAGATGGTAAGAGAAGAGGGTCCCTGGGGCTTTCTCTAACTTGTGTCTGTAGCCCTTAGACGTATGCTGCATGACCAAGAACCTCCTGGCATTTTACGTGGACAAGGTATTCAAGGACCATCGGGAGCTGAACCCTCAAATCTTGAGAAAAATCAGCAGCATTGCCAACTCTTTCCTCTACATGCAAAAGGCTCTGCAACAATGTGTGAGTGGTCATATCAGGACTCTCTGTTTCCCAACCCCAGGGAGAGCCCAGGACATGCTGATCTCACGCGGCTTTCTGTAGTGGTTCCTAGACTCAAGGGAAATCCCCTGCCCTGTCATCCATAGGGAGAACTGTCCAGAACCTACTCCTCAGGGCTTCCTCCCAGCTGATACCCCAGCAGACCCCATTTCCTCATGGATCATCCTCCTGGGGTGACCTGATATCAAAGTATTCCTTCAGTGATCTCAGTGCTGGCCTGTAACAGAGGCATGCCCAGGAGTCAAGGCTCATCATATGTATCTCTCTAGTTTCTTTGTTCGTGGCCCTTTGGGGTTTCCATACCCATTGACCTCTGGGTTATTCCAACCTATAGTCTATACCTAAGGGTTGCCTATAAATTCATTGTACGCTATTAAAAACAAACACCAGCAACGGAACCAAACCCGAACAAACCCACAAAAACTTAGACCAGGAGAAACCCTGGGTTCTTGCCCCAACCCTGCCAATGATTACCCATGTGACTTTGTGGCGAATTCTCTCTCCTTTCTGTGCCTCTGGTTCTAAAATTGTTAGAAGTCATGACCCCTGCCATACTTACATTAAGATTCATTTAATCAATCATTTAATTCACTAATCCAATAAGTATTTAGTGCCTTCCCTGAGGGGTCCTGCATTCACCGAGTGGTGACAAGGCAGACTTGGCCCCTACTTTCCTGGCCATTCCAGTCGGGTGAGCTACAAACCCAGACAGCAAAACCTGGTCAAACACAGGGCGATTCTATCAACAGACTCTTCTCCCCCTCGCTGCTCTGACCCGAGTTGACCCACCTGACCCACCTTAGCTGAACTATAGCTCCACCCTTGGGGAGAAGGAGGAATGTCCCTCCTCGGGCGGAAAAATACGGGCCGGGTGGAAAGGTTCTCTGATGGGCGCTTCCTCCACTTGATCACAGCAGGAGCAGATGCAGTGTCACTGCAGGGATGAAGCCACCAACGCCACCAGAATCATCCATGACAACTATGATCAGGTAACTGTAGGCAGGGGGAGACGTGGAAGATGGAGATCGGATGTGGGACCCTGATGGAGAGTGTGCCAGCCCTTCTGCCTCCTCTCCACTCAGAGTCGCTCGTTCCTTCAACAAGTGTTTATTGCTGGTCTTCCCAATTCTATGTGTCAGCAAGGAGTGTGTAGGTCTTAGCCCCTTGGCTAATTTCCTGGGCTCCCCCTCTCATGCCTCCACCATTTTCTCCTGCCCTCACATGTCAGAACTAACCTGTGTTAGATTTTGGGGGAAAGCACACACCATTTCAGATGGGTGTGACACAGAGGGAGCCAAGATCCCCAGTGAACTGTAAGTTGTTGTGCACCAAACATGTTACCTGCTAGGTGTCACTGTGGTCGGTAAGTGCCACCAGTGTTCTGTGGGGTGACCAAGAACAGTGTTTCTCACGGATACGCACATGTAGAACGCACATCTCATATAGAGGTAGAGCAGAAGCAGTGCTTCTCACATACATCCTTTGGAGACTTAGCCAAAATTAAATGCAGATTCTGGCTTAGTAGGTATGGAAGGAGGCCTGAGATTCTGCATTTCAACCACATTCCCAACAGATGCCAACGCTTTGACAAGTCAGGAGGCAGGAGTCTGTTCACAGCTCTGCTGCGTTGTGGAGAGGCTCCATAGGGTAATGTTATAACTGGCTAAGACTTGTATTGTTCTTGCCACGAACCAGCTACTATCCCAAGCACACTGCAAATATTAACACATGTCTTCCTCATAACGATGTTATGAGCCATTATCTGCATTTGATAAATTAGGAAACTGAGGGAAAAACAATTTGGGTTGCCTGTTAGAAGAATAATTTTGGGGTATGTATGCTCTGCCAATAGAACTGATGGATAAAAGGGAAAGCTCATGATGACTGGAACAAGGGGAGAGAATTGAAAACGATTGTGTAGTCTAGAAAGGCAGGTTCTTATGACGATGTGCCTGGTTTCAGCTGGAGGTCCGGGCTGCTGCCATTAAGTCTCTGGGAGAGCTTGACATCTTTCTAGCCTGGATTGACAAGAATAATCAAGGAACTTCTGCAGCCTGACGACCAGGAAGCTCACACCCCAGGGAGCAACAGCCCCGGTTGGGCTGCCTGAGGGGAGGTCCCCGTTTATATGCAGTTGAGGGTGTTTTGAAGAGACCTCTCTCCATTTTGGAATTCTCTCTTCTGGGGCTGGGGTATTGCAGGGAAAAATCTAGATTTGAACAGATCTCCGTGTGGGGCTGCAAGGCCCACTGGCTGGGCCCAGGCTGCCTGATCCCACCTGAAAGCAGCCAAATAGTCTGCCATCATTTTATAATAAATGGGTCTGTGGAAAGTTTCCTGAGGGCCATTGTGGCGGGAATGGGTGGGCTCCCCCCTAATTTATTGTGCACTTGTTTATCCCGTGTCTGTGATGCGAGCTGAGCGATGTCCTGTAGTGCATATTGTACGGACTGATTTTCCTGAATAAACTCAGTTCTCTGCCAGTTAGTGGAAGTGTCTCATTCAGCAAGGGCCAGTCAAGATGTCCTAAGTGGTGACCATTAGAAGTGAAAGGGGCCTTAAAGAATGCACAAAGGTAGGGAAACCGAGGCTCGAGAGGGATAAGAATCACTGAGTCCCAAAGCAAGTCAGAGCAGAGCAGGGCTCCACACGGGGTCCCCAAAGCCTCCACTCAGCACACTGTCCTCCACCTAATGATCCAGAAGATGGACGCAGGGCTTCTGACCGCCGGCTTCTCGACATCACTCCTCTTCTCTCTGTCTTTGTGACTTTCTCTGTCTTACTGCTCCCAACCTAGATACATCTCCGACCCTAAAGTCGTCCTCCATGGGCATATAGTTTGCGCTAGAGAGAGGGGGTTTCTGACAGAGGGATGGTTGTCCAGGTACAGAGCGGAACAGGTGCAGCTCAAGGCATGGGCTGTGCTGGACAGAGAAGTAGCTGGGCTACAGTGGAGAGAGGCCAAAATGGGCACCATCTTCTAGAAGGGCTCTCCTCACATGGTTAGCAGCAATAACAGCTGACACTTACTGAGCACCTGCCACGTGCTGGGTGCTGAGACGAGCCTTTCTCGGCACCAGCCTGCGTCAACATCTGGGCTGTAAGCGGCTGCCTGAAGCATCCTTTCTTCACTGCTACCCAAAGAAGAGATCCCACAGAGTGCGCTTTCGTGGACAGAGCAGGATCTCGGAAATCAGACACGTTGGCTCCCAGCCCGTGTGACTTGGCACAAGCTACTTAATGTCTCTGTCTCAGTGTCCTCTTCTGTAAAGGGGAGACAGTGACCCTAATCTCAAAGTGTTGCTGTGAGAGAGCATCAGGCATGGTGAAGCCCCCCTGCCCCCCGCCCAGGAGCCCTGCAGGGTGGGGGCTGCCCCGCTGGTAGAAAGAGTGCCAACCAGGAGCCAGGATCTGGCTTCAAGTCTTCTCCTGCCATGAACTGCCTGCGGCACATCACTGACTTTCTTTGGTCCTTAGCTGTCTGGAATGTGGATAATGACCCCTGTACAATCTCCTGTGTGAGCTCATTTATTTTATTTTATTTTTTAAGATTTTATTCATTTATTTGACAGAGAGAGAGAGAGAGAGAGAGCACAAGCAAGGGGAGTGGCAGGCAGAGGGAGAAGGAGAGCAGGCTTCCCGCTAAGCAGGGAGCCCGATGTGGGGCTCCATCCCAGAACCCCAGGATCATGACCTGAGCCGAAGGCAGACACCCAACCAGCTGAGCCACCCGTGTGTTTGCTCATTTAAAAGCCAGAGTCATCAAGACGGCCTAGAGAGCCCTGTGATCTGCCCACATGGCCTCCCCAGCTCTGTTTCCTCTAACCGTACCCAGACTGCGTGTTGGGGCTCACTTCGACCCAGCCATCCTGGCCTATCATCTGTGTTCCTCAAACACCCCGGGCATGCTCTCATCTTAGGGCCTTTGCACATTGTGGGCACATGTATGGGTAAACAGAGGTAGGGTTAAAAAAAAAAATCCAGTGTTACGTTCTGACGGGATTAATAGACTATTAAGAGTCTTCCTCATGATACTCCTGTGAGGTAAAGATGATTGACCAACCCAATTCTACAGATGAAGAGATCTAAAGCTTGGCGAGGTTCCACACATACCTAGGGTCATGGAACTGGTTGTGGAACTGGGATTCAAACTCAGGGCGTCCTACTCCAAAACCAGGACCCTCAGTCACGACGGAACGCTGCCTTCAGATTGTGCACGCATGGCGGGAGGCAGGGAAGGCGCTTTCCCAGAGTCATGAGCTGTACCTGCCTAGCGGAAGAAGTGGTACAGGAGGAGGAGATGGGGTAGGAGGGGGAGAAAGAACTAGGGAAGGAGAAGATGTCTCTCCCTCTCTTTCCTTCTATATCTCTTGTCTGCGTGTTTCATTTGTCCCTTTCAATTGTGCACCTGTACTTTCTTTTCTTCCAGACTTGAAGAATGTCTCCTGACCTCTTTTGTAGCCCACAGGGAGCCTGGAACAGAGTTACGTTTTTGGTTTTGGCCTTGTTATTGTTTTTTGTTTGTTTGTTTGTCTGTTTGTTTTCTGCTTTCATAGAGCTGGTGCTTAATACATGCCTGCCGAGGAACCAAGTATAAAATTTTCCCCCAAACCATCCCTTCTGAGTCCTCTACAAGCCCCTAGACACGCTTGCAAACCTAGGGTTGGCCTTCCACTGCTAAGGTGTCAAGGGAGGGACCTCACAGCAGGTGGCAGGACCACGGCAGGCACCTTACATATATGATCTCGCTCGAGTCCCAGAGGAGCCGAGGTCGGAGGTCTTACCCTAAGTGAGCAGTGAAAGCGGCTGAGGCTCAGGAAGGTGGGAGACTTGCCCCAAATCACATGGCTAAGGGACGGCAGATGTAGACAGTAAATCCAGGTCCCATCTTCCCGGCTCCAGCGTTCCCTCCCCTTGCTGCTGCGGGAGTTCACTTTATTTTGGCCAAGACTATATAATCCAGGGCCTAGATTACTATGCTGGACGAAAGCAATGCAGATCATTAAACCCAGATGCACAAAAAAGGACCTGGGGTTACTAGCAACAATCCTGCAAAGTTGCACACTAATTAATGGGCCAACACAGAGCAAAGAAGCAGAAGCCAACTTCTGAATGTGTCACATGATGTTCCTGGTCCAGCTGGCAGTCTGGGCTCCTCCTGGAGAACACTCTCTCCTCCTCCCATCTTCCAGAGCAAATCACTGACAGCCAGGCATGCTTAGGGCAACAGTCTTTTAGAACTGTGGTCTTGCCCGAAAGATTGGCCGAGAGGATAAAAGAATAGGCTTTTGTGTGAAATCCTGCTCCTGCCCTTACTGTATAACGTCGGGCAATCTACTTAATCTGAGCCTCAGTTTCCCTATCAGTACAAATGCAGGAGAGAGCTGCCTCGTGGAATCTTTATGAGGATTCAGGACATCATCTATAGTAGATGTGTATAGTAGATGTATAGTAGGTGCCCATTAAAAATGATGGTTGCTCCTACTGATTCTCACCTTTTCTAATCTTATTTCCCATAAAACACCACCATTTCAGGAAAGGCTTCCTCAAACATGCTTTTTACACTGGCAAGTGAGATAAGGCAAAAGGCACTGGCCTCCTGCACCCCAGGAGGCTGTCAGCTGAGTTCCTGAGAGGGAACTTGGAGTTTCAGTGCAACCAGCCAGGCTCTGGCTGTCTTCCTGAATCTCTCTGCTACTCAGACACCCTGCTACACTCATCCTTCCTCAGTCACAGACTCATCCCAGTGCGGGGTCCCTCCCTCGACCTGGCTGGACCTTACTTCATTCATGCCAGCACAATCCCCGGTACCTGCAGATCACAGGCTGTCTCCCAGGCAGCTGGGAATGAATGCCTGACCAGGGGCAGGCAGAACAAACTCATTTCTGGAGGTAGGTTCGGGGACCAGCATATCCCATTTGGCCAAGGAGTTTGGGGGAGGATAACTTCTTAAAAAGCTGCTATGAGTGAGCTCTAGAGCATTCTAGAGATAGTCTCTACTTCCAGTTCTGTTTCTGAGAGCCACTTGGTTAGTCCAGTCTCAGACCTCTGCCATGGAGCCCCCATCCGTAGATTAGAGTGTCGTAAAAGAGGCCTCCTCTATTGCAGGAACAAGGCTTGATCCAGGCACGGGGCCCCAGAGAGGGTTCAGAATCCAGCATTTACCATGAGGTCCGTTTGCCCCAGCATGCCCCAAGTCTGGATACCTCTGGTCACTTTCTTAGGTACTAAGAAGACTCTGTGCCTCAGTTTCCTTACTTGGAAAATGAAAAGAATCGTCATACCTACCTCATGGGTTGCCTGAAGATAAAATGAGTTAATATTTTATGAAGTATTCAGTGCCTCACATTCAGTAAGTGCTCCAAACAACAAAAGAGCCTCTGGTCACCCTCCATTGCTGTCCCATCTCTGCCCTAGCCTAGGCTGAACTTGCTAAGAACCATAGTTCCACCCCAGGGACAGAAAGCAGTCTTCCTCTTGCTCCTTCCTCTCCACCCCCACGCTACCCCCATTTGTGTTCCCTGGGACCTAGAGCAGTTTTCCAGTGTTTGACAAGTCAGAGATCCATTAGTGTCCATCTCCTCTTTCCCAGACTGTGCTCCTCGCGGATGGCGACATTGTGAATGGCTGCGCTCAGTATATAAATAGGCCTCGAATAAATTAATACCTACGTGAGGCAAAGCCAATCCCAGCTGTGTGAGCAGCTCCCTCTCGCAGGAAACATGTAGCTTGGCTTTTTGGCTGTCTGACATGCGTTGTCCTCCATGGATACATCTGTTTTGTATCCCTGTTTCTAGCCTAGAACAAGGAATCAGTTTTCCCCTCTGTCTGGCCTCCCTGGCTTTGGTTTTGATTTTGCCCCCGGTTGTTGTCTTATGGTCTTCAAGTCCACATCCTGAAGCCTGAAGGCCAGTGCCTCCCATCCCTCTCCTGGGCCAGCCGGCCCTTTGGGCGTCTTGCTAACCTAGGTCCCTGCTTACTTGCGAGCAGCATGGTCCCGAGTATGCCCGCTAAGGCACGTTGTCTGCTCTGACAAGGCCAGCAGCAGCCCCTTCCGTCTTGGGCAGGGAGTTCTCAGTTTTTTCGGGCCAGCAGCTCTGTGAGTGGGGAGAAAGAACTCAAGAAGTACTGGCTTGACTTCTTCCTCACCTCCTCAGTGTCTCTAACACATCCACACCTAGCCCAGGAAGGGTGCAGTGCAACTCTAGAGGAGGTGCCCCTGAGGCAGAGTGCAGACGACACTCCCTGGCGGTGACCTCTTGGAGGACGGTGCTGAGGCAATAGGATTATGCCTGGAGAGCTAGAAATGATGTCTGAGGAGACGGTGGTTGGATGTCAGAGAGCTTAGTCTCTGTGGGGAACCGGTGCCTGAAAAAGGGCTTTGAATCTAGTTAGGGAAATGAATCGGTAAGCGAGTCAGCTGAGCTCCTGTGTGATGTGTGCAATGTTGACCTAAGCATCACCAAAGGAAACTGGTCATTGGTTCTTAGAAATGGAAGATTTCAGAGGGCCGCTTCCTCAGACGGATGTTTACCATTCATGGCATTGACCCTTTTCAACCTTCTTCAATACCTGACCCCCTACTCCACCCAACACCCACAGGGGCGTCCTCCCTCAGGTACAGAAGCACCTTCTGCATCAGGAACTTTGTTCTAGCCATCCCACTGAAAGGAGCAAGGGCCCTTCTGCTCCTGCCACAGCCTCTCCATCCCCAAACCTCAGAAAATCATTAGTTCTTCAAAGCCTTGCTCAAACCGGACTCTCTCCAAGAAACCAACTCAGATAAGAAATAATCTCCACACACCCCCCAACCCTCAGTGCCCATGATGAGCACAGACTCTGATTTTTCTAGGAATGTCCTGATAACAATCTCTCCCACCATCTTTACAAATAACCCCCTTCCTCTCCCACTTCCTGTCACAATTGGGAAAGTGTGATTGGCATACCTATGCGTCTTTGTGCCTGCCATTAGAGCCAGGGATCTCAACCTTCTGTGTGCTCTGGACCTCCTTGGCACACAGCAAAGCCTACGGACCCTACTCAGAATAATGTTTCTAAATACATAAAATAAAATATAAAGGATTACAAAAGAAATCACTTATATTAAAATACAACTATCAAAATATAGAATAACAGTAGGTTATATATAATGAATGTGCTTCTTTATTAATGCATTAACAAGATCTAGCAGCAGACAGACCTACAAACTACTAACAGTTCTAAGTAATGATGAGTATAAATGATATTTTGAAGTGTCTGAAACAACTGTAATGTGATACAAAAACATTTGTGATTTCTATCAGTGACAAAGTCACAGGTATTGCTAATACTTTTGTGGTTTGTATTTGTTTCCTATTCTCATAACCAAAGAAAATACTAAATTTTGATTAGAGGTTAGGGAAAAGATGTGTTATTTTTCCACCCACCTTCTCCCAGATTAATATCTCCCACATTAGAGGCTCTGTTTCCCTACAATGCTCTGAATCCCACAAGAGGTCCCAAGAAACCAATCTTTTCACTTGGATGCTCTGGGGTCATCCAGCTCAGTGCCCACACATGGGAGTCTCCATGCTTGTTTGTGGAATTAAAAGGCAAAGAATTAAGTTCATCCCTATTCTTCTAGTTGAGGAAACTTAATTCAAGGCCATGTCTGGATTTTTGTTCCCAGATTCCACGTCCAGGGGAGGGTTTTCCCAGTGGTTCCCACTTTGCAGGCAGAGGTTGGGAGGAATTAACCAACTCTGGGTTCAGCTATGTCAGAGGAAATCTCAAGAGAAAGGGTGGCAGCAAGTCAAGTTGGTTAAACAGAGCATGATAGAAAGACGCAGGAAAAGGAAATGATGTCACCCTTTTTATAGGCTTTGAGGACAGGGAACTGAAAATGTATGCTTCAGATAGCGTCAGCTGCTCCGCCCACCCCCACCCTGCAGAGGGGTAGCGGGGGAGGTACCAGAGGCTGCAGGCTGGGCAAAGCTCCACACTGTAGGCCTGGGAGTAAGAACAGTCTCTACTTGCCCACCCAGGGAGCTGAAGATCTTCCTTCAGCCGAACCTGAACACCCAAGTGTTTCCCCCCAAGGTGATGCAACTGGGCAGGAAGCCCACGTGCCAGCTAACTGTGACGTTGGTGTAGACAGGGAAAACCCTGAGCTGCAAACTCAGGACTTGCCTTGGGAAAAAAGGAGTGGCTGGGTTTTGTTCTTGGTTTCTAGAAAATTGTTTCCTGCCCAAAAATGGCTTGGTTAGGAAGCTGAATTTATTTCATAAGAAGGGATTCTTCTTTTATCTCCTCTGCCCAACTCACCTTTACAATTACACTGGCACTGATTATTTGCTGACTCTCAGTTTTAAAACCCTATTTCCTAGAGTTAGCTTGATGTGCTCATGAAATGTGCCCCCCATTTCTTCACCACAGCCTCATCATCCGCCAAGTGTTTTATTTGATCACTAACAATGTGCCAAGCACTCTGCTGCCCTCGAGGATCTCATGGTTAGTACAGTTACTAACACATCTCTTTTCCCACTCTAAGACCCTCCACGGCTCCTTACTGCTTTGGGGAGGGCAGGGGGTAAGGACAAAGAATCACAGAAACAAAGGCCAGAAATGAAAAGGACTTGAATCATTTAATTAATTTCCCCAAAATTTACAGATGAGGAAACTGAGATCCAGAGAAGGGAAGTGATTTCCCCAAGACCACACAGCGAGCTGCAGGTAAAGCTAGAGCTAGACACTCTCTTTCTAGACTCCTAGTCCAAGATCACATTCCTTGGCATGATAACCTTGAGGATAAAGCCATATTTCCAACTTGATCTCCCATTGCCCCTCTACACAAAATCCAGCTCCAGCCAGCTAGGCCATTTGCTAGTCCTCACACACGTTGTGAGCTTTGTTGCCCTAGTCATCTCTGTCCTGAAAGCCCTGCGTTGGACTCCACTCCTCCCTGTCTTAACTGCTTCAAGTAGATTTTCTAGTTCGCTTATCCAATCACATTGCTCCTTGCTGAAAGCCTTCATAACTCCTTGCTTTTGGATAAAATCCAAATTCCTTAATATGACCAATATAACTTCTGACCTCAAACCAGCCTATCTTTTACCCTCACCTCCCCGTCCTCCTAGCTCTCTCTGATTTCAGGCCATTCGGTAATGACTAATTGCTTTATATGTCTCTATTTTTGGGTTCAGCCAAGCCTGCGATCCTGTGGCAGGATATAACATAAAGAAGACATGATTTTAAATAAGTATGTTCATTCAATAGTTATCAAATATTAACTGAGCACCTACCAGGAGTCATTGAGTGTTGGGACCACAAAGGTGAACACGGCGCTCTCAGGCTAGTGAGATATCTAGATATGCGACCAAAAAAACGACAGTTAACTGTGATAAGTAAGAAAGAAGTATTTGCAAGGTAGAGTGGAGGTCCACAGTTGGGAGGGACCAATTTTGCCCTGGGAAATGGGGGTGGAGAGAGAGAGAGAGAGAGAGAAAGAGAGAGAGAGGTTAGGGTGAGGCAGGGGCAGTTTTGTAGAGGAGGAGAGTTGAATTGGTATCTGTACAGAGAGTGGAATGGGATGTATTCAATGGATTTTAAGAGAAGAAAGTACTTCAATGTAGAAAAAGGAGAGACTCAATTATTAAAGTAGAATCAGGATTGCACATGAATAAGTTTAGTTAATCACTACACGTACCTTCAAACACAGCAATGGCATTCTTCTTGCTTAAAGGAAAGGAACTCACCGGCAAGAGAACAGCCTATACTATCTGAAGGTTGTGACTTTAAGTATTCTTGTCAAACCATGTTTCTCATTACTTTAATCACAGTTCTGGATGATCATGAGAAATGGTCTACCTAGCAGCAATAATGAAAAAACAGGCATGAGCTCAAGAGATATTTAGATTAGATATTCACACATATTCTCAACATTTATCAAGCATTACAATGAAAAGTTATGGTCTTCACTTTAGGGAGACATTAAAAGACATTAAAAAGAACACTCTGACCCAAAAGGTAGAAGAGCAAGGAATCATAGTGACATTAAATATCAGAATTGAGATGGTTCTTATACGTTACCTATTCTATTGCTCTCATTTGTATGTAAACTGATATGTTAACAGATATGTAAACTGAAATCCAGAAAAATGAAATCATATGGGAAAGTCATCCTGTAAACCATGGAATCCCTGAACTCAAATACAGGACCCCAAAGTCTTAGGTATTAAGAGCTGAAAAGGAATATATTATAATCTCTACCATCTTGAGAGTTTTCAAAGCATTGTACATGTTAATTCCGGGTGTTTTGATTTAATCTTACGCGGAAGTGTCCCACTTGTTGGATTAGTCCCTGTCTAAGAAAATTTTTCAGTGTCATTAGGGAGAAAAGGCTAAGGCATATGAAACAGAGGGCAACATTAGACTCTCTTAAATGCCAAAGAAAAATCTGCAATTGGAAGTCAGAGAAGCGAGGGATTCGAGTGGCCCAGAATAGCTCAAGAAGAAAGAATTGGGGTCCATTCTTTAATGATGAATGGAGGGAAAGCAGGGTGGCTATTGCTGGAGAGAAATGTTGGAAATAACAAAAGCCAAGGAGAAACAGCAGGAGCTAGCCCAGTGTCTGGGTTGGAGAGAAACCTGGTTAAAGAGAACTGGACTTAAAGGAGGGGGTGGGACGCCTGGCTGGCTCAGTTGGTAGTGCAAGAGACTCTTTATTTCAGGGCTGTGAGTCCCAGTGAGTAACGGACAGGTGGGGCTAGGTAGGGAGAGATAGATATGGGGCTATGTGATCAGGCTCACAGAAGTCCCCAAAATGTGGAGGTTTGGGAAAACCAGTGATAAGGAAACAAAACGGACCATCCTGCCCTAAGTGTGTGGGGTGAGTGTCTTTTTTTTATAACAGTCACCTGTGACCAAGAAAGAATAACGAGACCCTAAAAAGAAGTAAGCCATTAAAAATGTTATCACCAGTCCTTACTCAAGCCAAGACATCACAAGAATGGTAAGGGCACAAGCTCCCTGGTCAGTTCTAAATTAAAGACTGTCAGGGGAGGCCCTTGCTGGCAACCCTTTTGGAACCCCTCTCACTCTTGAGAGCTTTTTCTGTATCTTCACTTAATAAAACTCTATTGCTTTACTCATTCTCCTTTGTCCTCGAGATTCATTCTTCCACTCTGGGAGACAAGAACCTTGCTCTCCCGCTTCACCAGCACCACATTGGGTGTGCAGATTACTTAAAAGCTTAAAAAATAAAAATTAGAAGAATAAAGAAGGGGACAAAATCACCTCTTGGAATTCTCTCCCAGTTCTGTAATTCAGCGATCTTTCCGGTCCTGATTACCATTTTGCCTTCCTTCTGGAAGGGAGGGGGAAAAAGAGGCACATCTTTTATCTAAAAACTATACCCAGTCGTCTCCCAAGAAGGCTTCTTTAGGAGGAAGGTGTTGAGGTAACACAGCCAGCACTTAATCTGCCTTAGGATGGGAGGAAGTGCAATGCCACCAGAGAAATTCCAAGGGAGTTTCAGACCTCACCTGCAGGAGCTCACCTTTATGTGACATATATAAGTAACTGGAAGCCTCTTGGCTTGAGGCAGACTCCTAGGAGACCACAGGCAACAGCCTTTCCTGAACTCAGGTAAGAGAACTCCCTTTCCCTACACCATTCACACAGTTCTGGGGATCAGGCTGGTTCTCCCAATCATTTATCCAAGTATGTTCAGGGCCACATCTAAAGGAGCCCTTTCCAATAGGACAAAATATCCTAAGGATAGAGAATTGTCATGTTTATCTTCTCATGCCAGTACTTGCACAATATTTAAGATGGTGTTCAATAAATGCTAATCAAATTGTTGAATTTAACCTATATTTACTATACACCCCCTATGCTCAAGGCAACAAACAACATTCTTTTTTTTTTAATGAATTGATTACTCACTATATTTTAGATGTATAAACCATGCATTGGTTTCTGTAAATGTCAAAGCAAGTTTCTGGGGTAAGAATTATTACCACCATTTGGGGGGGCTAAGAAAACAAAACTAAAAGAGGCCCAGGGTCACGTAGCTGTAGGGTGACTAAAGCATTCAGGTCTACCTGTGACTTCCCCAGTTTTGAGACTGAAAGTCTTGTGTCCTGGGATACCCCTCAGTCCTGGGCAAACTGGGACCACCTACTTTGATGGGAACCTGTAGCCAGTATGTCTCAGCATGGCACTGTCAGATTCTGTCTTTGTTTAAAATGTTGCTATGTTGTTCATCATGGATTTTTTTCATTAATTCTGATGTTGCATTAAATTGTTACTTATCTTGATTATTGAGACTTTTGGTGCCCCCTTAAATTTTGTGCTCGAGGTGAGTGTTTTGTTCTCCTCACCCTAATCCCAGCCCGTTATAATTTATCTTAAAACTCAGCAGTTTGGGGATAGGAGGAGCCTATCCCAAGAAGAAATGAGTTCCCTTCCTGCCTTTCTTCTCCTTTTTGGGGGGGCCTGGGCAGAGCCAGGAGGTGCAGAGTCAGGAAAGAGCACCCTCCTGCATTCCTCTCAGATGTGCCTGACTATAGCCTTCCTGTAGAGGGTGCTGTGGAGCTCAGACGCCTCAGGAGGGAGAAGTGTTAGGTGTAACTGGGCTAATTGCCCATCAGATCTTGACTTTCCCTGGCAGTAGGACTGTTATGAAATCATTGACTTTCTATTTGCCTTTGAGCCTGAAATAAATCTATTATCCCCAAATAACCAACCTGATCCCAGACAAATACCAAAGAGCTAACCTCTTCTGCCCTGGGGGGTGGCCATAAAATCCACAGACAATTTTCCCCACGTGTTTTTGGTGGCTCAGCAACAGCTTCTGTGAGATTCTGTTTCCCTGCAGGTCCCCCTCAGGCTTAAAGGGACCAGAAGAGTGAGCTACAACGGCATTCTGGAAGGGAAGACTGTATACGTCAATTCGCCAAAACAAGTTTTAACATTTTCCCTGAAATGTAATCCTCTGTCTACTCACTGCAAGGGCCTGCTGCTCCAGGCCTTACCTGCTGGGCAATGACGATGGGGCTGGGATGGGGACAGAATAAAGGAGTCAGGACCTGTAGCACCAACTCACACTCAGACCCTGAACAAACACCCAGAGTCTTTTCTTCCAGGAGGCTCAGCAGCTTTTCTTAGTAAGTTAGATGAAAGGGCCAGACTGTCCAAAGCCAGACAAAGCTATTGAGTTTCACCAGGGGACACCTGGGGAAGGCATGTCCCTGGTGACTGAATTGGCTTCTTAAGACATGATGTTGGGAAAACCAGTAAGTAGTTCTCTTTCCTTTGAATTCCTAGCTCCTTTGGTCTTCAGATTCTGGCACAAGATGAAAGCCTCTGGTCTTCCCATCTGCCTTCTCTCTGCTGCATTTAATCTCTTCTGGACACCTTCTGCTGGGCTGAAGACACTCCATTTGGGAAGCTGTGTGATCAACACAAACCTTCAGGAAATGCGAAGTGGATTTTCTGAGATACGAGACAGTGTGGTAAGTGAGGGAGGCAACCCCTCCCTGTTCTAGTAGCTGTCTCTCTTCTTCTCTACTTGTCTTTCTCTGTCCTCTGGCAGCCCCGCAGTGCGATCACAAAAAGAGATAGGCTGGGGACTCCTTACCAGGGAGGACATGTTCCTAAGAAACAGCTGTAGTTCACAATTTAAGAGTGTTTTGGAAAGGGACACTGTCTGCTGGGCTGTGTGGCAGGGAGAGGATGAGAGGTCTTGATGTCCAAGACCTGGCAGTCATCAGTGACCTGTCCTTTCTTGTCTTGTCTTCTTCCATTTAGCAAGCCAAAGATGAAATCATTGATATCAGAATCTTGAGGAAAACTGAGTCTTTGCAAGACACAAAGGTATGTACTTGGTCCATAAAGTCCTGAAAGGAAATAGAAATTGAAGGCATCTCCATCACCCTGGGTCTTGTCCCTGGATGCTCTTCCCCCGCCAACATACTAGTCTTCTTTGTAGCCTGCAGATCAGTGCTGCCTGCTCCGCCATGTACTGAGACTCTACCTGGACAAGGTATTCAAAAACTATCAGACTCCTGACCAGCATATCCTCCGGAAGACCAGCAGTCTTGCCAACTCTTTTCTTACCATCAAGAAGGACCTCCGGCTCTGTGTGAGTAAAGGTCTTGGGTAAAAGGATCCATTGCTGCACATAACTTCAATGACTTAGCAACCAAGTTCTTTCTTACTCCCCTTTAATGGATAGAAAAACTGAGTCCAAAATTTCTCAAAATCTGTGTTGTGCCATGTGACTAGGTATTAAGAACTCAGTTTTACTGACTTTTGGGTATATGCTCCATGCAAAAAGTCTAAATAGCTACAAAATGCTATTTAATATTCAGGAAAATTATCTATTATCCATGAAATTGCACTTTTTCTGTAGGTGAAAGATCCTACAATATATTAGTGTATCCTGTGTCCAGGCAGCCACTCAGCAAGCCATTGGACTCAATATCAAGATAAGGTCTGAATAGGACTTGGGGATCAAACAGAGAGCTCCATACTTGAGCTTATAAAGCTGGCCTCTTCTTCTAGCTGATGATTAGTTTTCTGATCCCCAATGATGAGGTCTGAAAAGACTTTTCTATAAGAATGGAGTATGTGCAAGAATGTAGGTGAAAGAGTAGAATTCCCTTTATTTCACAGTAGTGGCAAGGGCAGAAAATCAGAATCTTTAATAAAATCTATTATTCTGTGGCATTCTTTTCAGCATGCCCATATGACATGCCTTTGTGGAGAGGAAGCAATGGAGAAATACAGCCAGATTCTGAGTCACTTTGAAGAGGTATATGCAATTTTGGCCTTGGTTGGGATGGGTGTGTTTTTTAGAACTGAGATCACAGATGGATGGGATGGATATTCATACTGGTAGAAATCCTGTAGCCCTCAGTTAACCCTCTGAAGTCATGTGGACCACCCCTCTGCTTTAACCCAGGGGACACCCATCCAGGCTCTAGACGGGTGCTGTCTCTGGAAGATGCTCTGGGATTCAAGAGGAAATGGCCCTAATTCCAAGTCACTCCAGAGATATCTGGATCTTCCAGCTGTACAAATAAGAGGCAATAGTTTTCCAACATTCACACACTTATACATACCCTCAAAAACATGCCATGTTGTTTCTCATCTTGGTGCCTTTGCACATCTGCCGGGAAGGCCTGGAGTCTACTCCTCACTGACTAATTCCTACTCATCCTTTGAGACTCATCCTAGGCATCACCTCCAGGAAGGTACTGACTACTCTACCAAAGTTAGGTGCCTCTCCTGTGATTCCCATGGGGGCTCCATCCTCTATCCACCACACTACATTTTAGTTGTCTGCTTCTGTCTCCCTCACTTGCCTGAATTCCCTCTCAGCAAGGATTGTGCCATTCATCTCTGCATCCCTAGGCAGCCCAATGCTTAACACAATAAATATTCGTTCAGTTGAAGTTGCACAGTAGGCAACCCTTACACACACACACACACACACACACACACACACACACACACACACCTTTCTTAAAAACAAAATAAAACAAAACAAAACAAAACAGCCTAATTACTTTGATCTCTGTGATTCAAGAGGCTTGGGTTGTAGTCCAAATTCTGCCACCCCCTAGGCTTCAGTTTCCCTATGTACTGGACTCCATGATTTTCCTTCCTCTTGTGAGATCTCGAGATTCCACAACTTCTTTCAAGCTCTCCACCTTGAAAAGAATACTATGCTTACAATCCCCTGCAGACCTCCCAATGAAAGGAGAGAATTAACCTGGGAGTGCATATTGTCTCTTTATGAGGTGCTCACCACAGAAGTTGTGTCTTTCAGCTTACACCTCAGGCAGCAGTGGTGAAGGCTTTGGGAGAGCTCGACATCCTCCTGCAATGGATGGAGGAGATGAAATAGGAGGAGAGTGATGACCTTACTGGCAGTAGTGCTGGCTGAGAGTCCCATCCTTGGTACCGGCGGAGGCATGACCCCAAACCACCATCTCGCTGCTATATAATTTAGTGCTGGTCACCATGTATATTATTTATTTATTATTTGCTTCCTTATTGTGGTTGTCTCCATGCGTTCCCACTCTTAATCTAGCCCATGGTTTTATAAGATTTTGGTAATATCTTTTCTACTGTTGGGTGTATTTATTAGTTAATGTATTTATTTATTTTTGCTATTTAACTTATTTATTTTTGTTTGTGAAGACAAGACTTATTAAAAAATTCACAGATGATATTTATAACCCGACTACAGGTTTTCATGCAGGTTTTCATAAAATAAACAAACCCTCTAAATTCTAGAGGGTTGGCTAGGGGTGTTATTCATTTTATTAAATTAAGGACACATTTACTGACTGCCAAGACTCTGTGAGATATTTAAAAGTGAACTAATGGCTAGTAAGTGTGGGTTGTGAAAGGAGTTCTGATGTGAAATTGCAGACTTATCTTACAATTATTGACCATCCCCACTCAACTCCCCAACCCCATACTTGCTATGGAATCCTGTATGGCCAAAATGTATTTCTACAAATAAAGTTTTCTTTGCATAATGTCTTCGTGGAGTTTGGAAATGCTTCAGGAGCAAAAACAATGGTAAGGAGACCTTGAATCTCTTATTACCTAGGGACTTCTTGCTCTTTTGGGGAAGAAAGAGGCCAGTGGGAACGTGGGCCTTCTTTCTCTTACTGAATGTATTCCCAGCTCTATGTCTTAATTGTCTCGCATCTCTGATCCCACAACTCTGCCCTCTACATAAAGGGGCTGTGACCAAGTGAAGGGCTTCAGTCTGCTTTCACCTTGTTGGCTTTGAGCACTGTCCTCTCTGTGCCTGGTTTTCTTTCTCATTTTAGGTTCTCATATTTTGCAATGAGAGTCTTGATTGCAACACAAATTACAGTGGGCAGAAGGCTCTATTATAAGGGTTAAGAACACACAGATGTAAAGTGTAGTTACTGAGCCTTGTCCATGTTAGCGCATGAACACTATCTTGAGGCTCTTCTGCTTTGTATTCTGGCCAGCCCCAGGGTCTAGGTTGTTTCTGGATCAAGTCTTTGTCTTTGTGACCAACTACTAAGTCAGTGTTCTCTAATCAGACCCCTTACATGTTGAGCTTCTCTGAGCTCTTCTGGCACTGGCTGTTTGCCTCCTTCCTCCCCACCTCACTCTGAACTGCCCCTCAGCTTAGCAGTTTAGTTTTCCCAATTTCATGAACAGCAGACTAACGCTGATGTCCCGGCTCCCAAAGCCAGCTCCCCTCACGGCCTCTGGCTTCTGCTCTCAGCCCTCAGCTTGGGCCTTGATGAAATTTAAATAACTTTATTAATTTCTCTTCTCATTATACAAGTAACAACTGCCCAAGAGAGAAAGTTTGGAAAATACAGAGAAACATAAGGAAGAAAATTTAGATCACCTATTATCCACTCTTAGACATTTAGGTGTATTTTTCCCAGATCTTTTTTCTTGGATTCAAATCATGACTCAACCCTCATTACCTGAGTGATTTGGGCTGTAAAACTTAACCTTCTTGGAATTCAGTTTCTCCCTCTGGAAAACAGGATGATAATATCTACCTTTCGGGGTGATGGAAGACATGGTTTTTTATGTTCCTTTGAAAACAAGACACCTTCTGCTTTCATACTGCACATAATTATCACCTATTTGCTATTGGGTTTTTACTCCATCTCACCTGTCTCCTATCACACTTTCCAGTTGCATGTATCCTGGTTTTCTATGACCAATCTGACAAATAACTTAGCTTCAACTCTCAAGGAATAGTTGAGGAGGCAACTTCACTGAACTCGGTGTTAAAATTAGAACAACCACCTCCAAGAGACATTGGATAGCAAGGAGGAAGCTGGTTTTACCTGCCAAGGGTGTGAGTCTTCCAGATGGGTGCGTCACAGTTTCACCCCACAGCCAAGGATGAAATTCCTCCGTTTGTTTCCTGGGAAACGTTTCTGACTCTTCTGGAAGTCTGGGCCATGGGAAGCTTGGGTCTTTTGGGACTATACATTACCATGTTAGCAATGACTTGTTACCTCTTTGCCTATCTAGTCCTCTCCCCAGCAAGACCCATTTCTTCCTCCAAGTCTTTGCTTGACCTATCATAGTACCAACAACAGGGAATTCAGCAGGGAAGAAGTCAGGTTATGAGTTATGGGCAAAGGGAAAACTTCATAAAGATGGGGCCAGTGAGGGACAGTCTCTAAAGAATGGTTTATGATTGTCACTTCCGACTCCAACAATTAAAATGATTATTGTCCTTTATTAAGTACTCATCATGTGTCAGGCACTGTATTGGGAACTTCACATACATCATATTATTCAATCCTTAAGACAACCCTGTGAGGTAGATAGTAATGTTACCAGTTTGCAAAGGATAAAGTGCTCAGAGATGGTAAGTAACTTGTGCAAGGGGGCAGAACCAAGAGTTGAATGTGTGCACCCTGATACCACAGCCCTATATGCTTCCCATTGTACCGCTCGCTTTTCCAACAATGGCATCTTGAGTTCAGAGGTACAGTAGGAAGGAAAAATGTGTGATGACTTCATAGAGACATGAATAAAAATCCTGACTTTGACAACCACTATCTTGGGCAAATGACATAAGTATCCTTAGTTTCTTCATCTGCAAAGTGCAGGTTATACTACTTACCACGCTGGGTTGATGTGAATACTAAATGGGATTGCCATAGCTAACTTGAACAAACACTTATTACATATTAGGTACTGTTCTAAGTGTGTTGTAAGTGCCCACTCATTTAATTTGTATACAAGCATGATGAGATAGCTCTGATTATTGCCATTTTACATATGATGAAGCTGAAGGCCAGAAAGGTAAAGTATCTTGTTTAAGTTCACACAGCTTACGTTGGTGGAGGTAAACTATGAATACAGTAGGAAGACTGGAGAACCACTCATCTGACCACTTCACCTCACCAGCTGGACAGAATGTCCAGTTTATAGAGAGCCCTTGATCAACAGAAGCGCTGTCTATATCTGCTTTGAGAGGAAGGTGATGAGCCTTTCTACCAAGCCGTAGTGCTAACTCGAACTTCCTGGGGCAACTACTCTCTGTGACATCTGTGTGGACCTTCATGTTTCCATGGTCTAAACCTGGTTTCCTCAACAAGCAGAATGTAAGTTCCTTTGGAGGTCACAAGATAAATATGCCGAACCTCACGTTGACCTATCAGTTCTGGTTACTCTACCTTTCCAGGTCTCAGTTTCTGCTGAGAGATGGAATATACAAACGGACAGTGGTGAGACCATATGTAGAGATAGAATTCTGATCTACAATCTGCCGCGTAGGAAACCAACCCATTGCCTACAGCGCCCAGCCCAGGAAGCCAAACCATAGCTCCTGTAACAATTGGTCCCTTGATGGCCATGATTTGATTGGTAACTGACAGATTCCCTATATTTTGTTCCCACTCCCAACTTAGCATGAACCAGGAAAGCCAAATATGCACTCCTAACCAATCACATAGAATGTCCTTCTTCTAGTTAGCCCGCTGACAGCTTCCCCATGCCAGTCAAGGCATACCCAAAGGCTTCCTTGTTTCCTACCGTAAAGCTTTCCCACTCCTGCAGGCCTTTAAGTCTGTGTTAAAACACAAGTGATAATAGCTGACTTCTTTGCTATAACAAGCTCTGAATAAATAGCCTCTGCCTGTTCTCATTTGGTTGGTCTTAATTTAGTCCACACTGCATTTGTAAAATGAAAGAGTTGAAACAGATGATTCTGAATTCTAGAAACGAGATGTGCTACAACTGACTCAGGGGATCAGATGTAGCTGCTGCTGTCTTCCATCACCAGAAGGAGTTTGAATGGTTCCTCTATCACCAGGTTTGGATTCAGAATTTGGGGTGAACACATCTGGTTGGGCAGGCCTAGAGGGTGCCCCGGATGCTGGGAAGAATGGACAAGTCTTCCCTATGATGGGAGGTGGGCTCCTTCTCAGAATGAGAGATAGCTCCCAAACCTAGAAATGAGACCTAGATGCAGGATAACTCAAAAGAATAAAAACATCCACTCTATCTCTCATTCCCATCATAGCTTGGGTTTGCCCAAATTCCTTATTTTTAAGGATCCAGGCCTTCTCCAACATAGTCCAGCGTAGCTTTGTCTGCCTACCCCTCTCTTAAAAAGATAGAGAATGGACCATTTTCTTGTTGGACTCAAGTTCCTGAAGGACAGGACTGTGTCTTTTCAGCTTTTTAGCCTATCCCATCTTTGTACATTACATTACTGATAAGGACTGAATTCTAAAGCAAAAGGATGGAATGTGTGTAATGACAAAATTTTTTAAAATACCAAATGAAATTGCTTTTTCTATGTATGTGTCTCTCCCCTGAATTTTTCCTGAGACTGGGCTTTGCCAATAGGAGGCAGCAGAGCAAACGTTAAAAGGATGACTGAATACAGCCACTCCCCTATTTCACTGGAAGGTTGGGAGGAGAAGAGGTGACACCCTCCCGTTCAACTCAACTGTCTTGAGCAGGATGAGTCAACAGCTTAACGGGAGGAAGTAGGACTCAGAGGCCTGGAGGCAAGAAGCCGTGGATTACAACTAGAGTGCTAATACCTTCCAGAAAGCATTCTTTGTCTCCCTGAATGTTAGAAGTGGGAGAGAACATGGATCACTTTACAGGGCGACTGGGGTTCAGAGAGGGAAAGCAACTTGCCAAAGGTTGCACAGCTTGTTATAGCAGAATTGGCATTAAAACTCAGGTTCCTGGACTTCCAACATTACTAAGCCTCAATTCAAGAAGAAATAAGTCATCCATAGTAGAAATGAAGTAAAACTGTCTTTATACATAGATGACATGCTTGTCTGGGGTAGAAATATCTGATGGAATCTGCAAAAAGTTCCTAGAACTAAGAAGAAAGTTTCAGAATATATTCTTATATTCTGGTAGCAGAATATAAGATCAACATACAAAGATCAACTGTATTTCCATATACAACACACAATTGGAAGTTGAAATAATAATATATATATATTATTATAATACACATATATATAGTATATATTATTATAATACACATAATAATATATATTAAATATATATTAAATAATATACATAAATATATGTGTATATATGACACACACACACACTATTGACAACAGCATGAAAAATTTTGAAATGCTTGGGGATAAATCAAGCTAAAGATGTAAAAGATTTCTTCACTGGGGCACCTGGGTGTCTTAGTTTGTTAAGCATCTGATTCTTGGTTTTGACTCAGGTCATGGTCTCAGGGTCGTTAGATGGAGACCTGCATCAGGACCTGCGCTGAGCAGGGAGTCTGCTTAAAGGGTCTCTCCCTCTACCCCTTCCCCCACTCGCACTTGTTCTTTCTCTCTCAAATAAATATATCTTTAAACAGAGATTTCTGCATTAAAAACTACAAACCACTGCTGGGAGAAATAAGAGATGATCTAAATAATGGGAAGATATATCATATTCAAGCATTGGAAGTCTCAATATTACTAAAATGTCAATTCTCCCCAAATTAATCTATAAATTCAATGCAATCACTATAAAA